AGCCACCCTTATGTGCCTGTGGCCTTGAGGTGCAGCAGAGGCTCCTAAAAGGAACACAGATGAGGACTTGAGTGTCCCTGGAGCACATTAAAGACCCAACCATGAGTCTCAAATTGTTGCGTCATTGTGGCCTCCTGCATGAAGCAGTTATTCCGCTGGAGCTTCTGTGAGCCCCAAAACTCCTATGGGTCACCCTGCCAAGCCCAGTTGTGCCTCTCAGAACAGCGCTCGAGTCTTTCCTGTGCTCTGTTCACCTGCTGCCACAGCTCTCCCTTGACACTCTGCTACCCCGCTTCCTCCAGCCACTTCGAATCCGCACGCCCTCCCAGTCGTCACCACCTTCCTCGGGTGACTGTTCCACTCTGCTGGGTGCAGCTGAGAGCGTAGGGTATTGCAGTTTGACCGTGATCGGGTGTGGTACTGAGAACCCAGCACAAGCCTGCTGCCTTGAGCAGGACCTGGTGAGCCCCTTCGGCCTGTTCACAGGCTGTGAATGTGTGCGCTTCTTTCCCGGGCTTGTCTCACAGAGTTAGCCACTGCAGCGCTCGGCAGCTGAACCGTGTGAGCCGATGGGAGACCAGGTCTCTCCCTCTCTCCTCCCTGCTGCACTTTTACCTGGTGGTTTCTGAACCAAGAATGGATTTGTTACTGCAGTAATGATACTAAAATAATAGTAATTCTGAACATTAATGTTATATAAACCTTCCAGCACATTTATTAGCCCACTTTACCCGAAAGACAGCGCGGCAGCTCAGAGAGTGACTTGCCAGCAGTCCAGGAGTGTGTTTGAACCCATTCGCAGCTCAGTGAAGAAGGTGCAGTTAGAAGGAGCAAGCGGTGGGATCGCTTGGTGTCTCTGAACTAGGCAGCCTGGGATAACTGCAGCATGCCTGGGCAGGTCTCTCCAGTGCCCCCCCCCCCCAAATCCTGTAAGTGACCAAGCAGTTGTGATATTGAGCCCTGGGACTGGAGAAGTTTTGTATGCAAAAATTTGATAATTTCCAAAAGTCCCATCTGCCTTTAAAAATTCAAAAAAAAAAAAAAATCTCTGAATCTAAACCAGGCTCTGTCACCCTCACTCCCCTTTCCAACCCAACTAGAAAATGTGGGTGGGTTGAGAGAGAACAGAAAAGAAAGATCAAAACTGTGACAAGTCTCTGACAACATTTTAACTTGAAAATTGCCTCCAAGTGGATGGCATAATTCTGTGTAGGCAGCCGTCAGTCAGGCACAGAGTGCCTCAGACCTGCCTGTTCTCATTCCCTAAGGAGCACCTGGAGGAGCTGGGGCCTGGGACGGCTAACTTGGCTCCCTGCAGCTGGGCGTGACCTGTTCCTCCCCAGGACTCCCTGAGCTGTGTCCCCTCGGTCGCTCTCCTCCCACTACATCGGCTCACTCTCCCTGGTGCGTTGTCGGCTCCCCGTGTGCAGATCCCGATCTGGCTATTGACTGGCTGTTAGATGTCCAGATAGCCGAGTCTGTGCAAACCTTTTCAATGAGTGGCAAAAATCCCTTCTCCGAGTACCCTGCCCAGCCTAGAACTGGCTCCCCAGCCTGGCCTGCCCCTCTCCAAGCCTCAGAGAGCCCCGTGGAGCTGCTCTTTCTCCTCTGGAATGGGCAAGGGTCGAGGCAGAGCATCTAAAGAAGGTGCTTCCCACGCCCAGGCGCTGTGCCTGTCTGTCTGTCCCCCTTCTTGGAGGCCGAGTCCTCTGCCCTCCTCCCGCCCCTCCCCTGGCTCCTCAGCCTGACAGGGCTGTCCTAGCTGTAATACTTGCCACTTATGCTGAGTGACAGTTGCCGTGAGGGTGGCTTGGGAGGAGGAAGGGGCGGTGACCCCACACCCTTACATAGCAGTCAGGGCCAGGACCTCACAGCACACTTTGTGGGTCTCCCCAGGTTCCTTTTTTTTTTTTTTTTAAAGATTTATTTATTTATTTGAAAGGCAGAAATAGAGAAGGTGAGCGAGAGAGAGAGCGAGCTCCTGCATCCACTGGCTCACTCCCCAAATGGTCGCAATGACTGGGGCTGGCCAGGCTGAAGCCGGGAGTCAGGAGCTTCTTCCAGGTCTCCCACATGGGTGGCAGGGGCCCAGACACTTGGGCCATCTGCTGCTGCTCTCCCAGGCACTCCAGCAGGGAGCTGGATTGGAAGTGGGGCACCCTGTGGGGTGTCAGCACTGCAGGTTTTGGCTTAACCTTCTAACCCACAGCGCTGGCCCCTCTCCCCAGGTTCTGTCTCCCCCAAGGTAGCTTCTCCCCTCAGCAGAGGGGTCTTGCCCAGCTGGGAGTTCAGAGGAGGGTGCCCACAGCGGCGAGAGCCTGGGGCAGTGGCCACGCCAGAGACTGCAAGCATGGCAGGGGAGGAGTGTGTTCTGTGCACGGTGTCATCCTGAGGCCCCAGGAGTTGGCACCGCTGCACAGAAACCATCGCACTCCCCCAGCAGTTGTTCCGCACCCCGTCCTCTCTGCTGCCGTTGAAAAGGCGGCAGGCCGGCGCCGCGGCTCACTAGACTAATCCTCCACCTAGCGGCGCCGGCACACCAGGTTCTAGTCCTGGTTGGGGCGCCGGATTCTGTCCCGGTTGCCCCTCTTCCAGGCCAGCTCTCTGCTGTGACCAGGGAGTGCAGTGGAGGATGGCCCAGGTGCTTGGGCCCTGCACCCCATGGGAGACCAGGATAAGCACCTGGCTCCTGCCATCAGATCAGCACGGTGTGCTGGTTACAGCGCGCCGGCCGCGGCGGCCATTGGAGGGTGAACCAACGGCAAAGGAAGACCTTTCGCGCGCGCTCTCTCTCTCTCTCTCTCTCTCTCACTGTCCACTCTGCCTGTCAAGAAAATTAAAAAATAAAAATTAAAAAAAAATAAAAAGAAAAGGCGGCAGCTGCCATTCCTGTGATACTGAGTCCCAGATGATCCAGGGGCATCGGCAGCTCATTCCTCTTCACTGCCTGCCGTGGCCCAGTATCCCTGCCCTGCTGTGGTCTGGCTCCCTTAGTCAGCACAGAGCTGTAGCTCTACCCAGCTCCCTGAGCTCACCCCGTGTGATGCCTCCTGGAGGGGGGAAGAAAAGGGCCTTATACAAACAGGGAGAGCCCTGAAGTTCAGCAGAGGGCCTATCTCAAGGAGGCCAGGGGTAAGCCAAGACCCGGCCTGGGCCAGGCTGCTGCTCTCTGGTCTCCCTGGTCACACCAACCTCTCAGAGGGGCAGGGGCCACCAGGATATCAATCTGTAGTGAGACCCTCATACTTGCCACAGGCCTGAATGAAGTGTGCCACCCACCCCTGGCCCTTTGGGAAGAACAGGGAGCAGGCTAGGGGCCTTTGGACAGAGCTGTAGGGTCCCTGGCAGCCCAGGGCAGCGTGGGCCTGCGCAGAGACGCATCTGTACCCCGAGGGGCTGGGCAGTGGCACATTTCCCTTCAGCTGCTGCCCTGATGCGGGCCCTGCCTGTGAGCATGTTCATGTGTGCATACGTGTACTCTCTACAGTCAGAGAAATGACATGTGTTCATGTCTGCACACGTGCGTGTACTTGAGAGGCCTGCTCACAATGGAAGCCTCTACAGGGCTGGGGTATGAGTGGCACTGGGTCCCGGGGACCTGAGGAGGGATGGCCCTCGGAGGACTTGCACGGAGCATACTTAACACCCAGAACCCTTTCTCTTCTAAGCCCTTGGCTCTGCCTTCCCCAACCTCAAATCATACACCCAAACCTGGGTTCCCAAAAGAGCTCAGAGAAAGTTGGAGGGATGAGGTCTGTCTGCCCTACCTTTGTGGTTCTCTTAAGGGTCAACAGCAGCCTCGCTCTTGGCCCTTGCAGGCCCAGTCCAGATCACCATGCTGCCCTTAACCCATAGCCAGTACAGACCCCGAGTATGTAGGAGAGAGGGTGCTGTGGGCCAGCTCATGGACTCTGCCCTTGTACCTGGCCCCTAACCCTGGCTGCGCGTAGCAGGCTAGGGAATCTTGTTTCAGGCACGGGGCCCAGGCCTCGTACTGCTCAAAGCTTCCGAGATGTTTCTCCCATCGGCTCCTCTGTGGTGACAGTGTGCAGATGTGTAGTGGAACAAAATGAAATTCAGGAAGATGGTTGTTCCCAGGCACAGGAAGCAGGGTAGGGGCACAGGGAGAGGTCAGATGTGTCAGCTGTAGTCACCACGTTTCCTTTCTTAAGCAGAGTGGGGATAGGCGTCTATTTCATAATTTTCAGTTTGATTGAAATAGTCCGTAAGTTAATGTAAAGAGGGGGGGAAGGCACATGGCTTTTGCAGTCAGATCTGGGTTTGAACCTCACTTTTGTTGCTTACTAGCTATGTGACCTGGGACGTGGACTTAATCTGAGTTTATTCATCATTTTTAACTCGGGGCTGTGTGAGGATTACCTAGGTTCTGGCACTCCTTTCCCAAGGCCCATCCTGAGAGACCACCTGGCCCGCCCCTGCTCCCAGACCCCTTCCCAGGGCAAGCAGAGGTGGGTTGCCAACTGGCCCTGCACTTCAGACTCCTCCCCTTCCTCCCCTTCAGGCAGGGTGCCCCAGAGACCAGCCTCGCAGGAAGAAACCACAAGAAAAAGCCGTTCCCTGCAGGTTTCTGAGAGGAATGACTTAGAAGGCAGTTTAGCCCCAGCCTAGATCTGTTTGCAGATACCTCTGTGGCCTGGCAGCTGGGGTGGGGCGAGCGGCTTGGCGCTGAGAAGATAACCGAGCAAGATGTCCGCTCCAGATGCCAAAGGTAGCGGGCTGGGGAGTGGCTCCCACACCAACTCTGGTCGGGAGCTGCAGCGGGTTTCCCTCCTCCTCATCCCCTGGAGACGCCTCCCACGGGCATGTGGATTCCGGCACAGGCAGGCAGCCTGTCCCCTCCGAGGATGGGAGCCCGGGCAGGCAGTGTTCTGACTACACACACACACATGCTCTCACACGGAGTTCACACACACATACACCCCTGTGCACCAGGCCTGGCTATGGAGCAGCGAAAGGACTCACACACCATCCTCATTGGACAAGCTTAAAACACAATGTGGCTCATTTTTATTTTATCTGACAAAAACAACATTCCCTTTAGAGGAAAGGCAGTCAGCCAGGGCCACTAGCTGGACAGCTCCGAGTGACCCAGGCACATGCCCTTAGCTTGCCAGTCCCAGCCTCTCCCCTAGGGCCTGAGCCGCGTTCCTGCTACAACTCCCTGTCCTCCGGCCCAGCTCTGTCACCCCAAGAGGTGGCCTTGGGACTGAGAAGTGTGTGGCAGCTCAGGGTAGCCGGGGGTGGGGGGAGCTGCCTGAGGTTCCCTGTTCCAGGATAGCAGCAGGACCAGCAAACCCAGCAGCGGGGGAGAGGATGGTAATAAAATAAAAGGGATTTCCTCACACTTACATTTTCTCTTGGAAAAAAAAAAAAATAGGCAAATGCCACATCCAGGCCAGCAGCTCTGACACCCTAGCAAAGTCCGGGGAGAGTAGGGGGTGTGTGTTGGGGAAGGGGAGCTGCTGGAGCCACTCCCCAGTTTCAGGACCAGGGCAGGGTGCTCTGCGGACACCTGTGGCTTCCAGATGCTTGGTGGGAGGGGCTGGCTGGGCCCTGCCCAGCCAAGGTGCTGCTGGTGCTTTGGCCCTGGCCTGGCTCGGGGGCCCCCCAGCACAAGACGCCTGCTTCCTCAGAACCGGCACCCTCCCTGCTGGTCTCATGCTGCTCCAGCCCGGGGCGCCCTCCTCAGTCCAGGGGGGAGCCGGCCAGCCACAGGGTCTCTTGGCTCACCCATGCTTCTCTTTCCCCGTGTGACTGGTCCAGCCAAGCAGGAAGATCGAGATCCCCTTCCTGGGGACACTCAGGACACTCCCGCGCCATCCTGGGCCAGGGGCTCCTCGAGGCCGGGGGACTCCGGGCACATGCTCTTACGCTCCTGGCCGAGGAGCTCCACGTCTGGGAGGCTCACGTCCCTGTGGGAAGCTCGGGCGCCTCCTGTGCTCCCCAGCCCCAGGGCATAGCCGTTGGGCCGACGTTGAGGATGGGGAGCGCTGCCATTGGCCCACAGCCCCGGCGGGTGGCCGTTCAGTCGAAGACTGACGTGCTCCCCGTCACTGCCGTGAGCAGCCAGGGCCCGTGCACTGGTGCCGCCCGCCTTGAAGGGGTCCTGCCGCCGCAGGACGTGGCTGCGGATGATCTTGCGGAAGGTCTGGCGGAACTCACGGATCCGGTAGGCGTAGATGAAGGGGTTCACGACAGAGTTGCTGTGGGAGAGGACAATGGCCAGGTACATGAGCCAGAGAGGGGCGTGGCTGCACTCGGGGCAGAAGAGGGTGAAGCAGTTGATGATGTGCAGGGGCAGCCAGCAGAGGGCAAAGAGCCCCACGATGATGGCCAGCGACTTGGCGGCGTGCACCTCCTTCTGCAGCGTGGACCGGGTGCGCTCCCCCGGCAGGGGCTGGCTCTCCATCTGCTTCAGCTGGCGCCGGGCAGCCAGGAAGATGCGCAGGTAGATGCCCAGCATGAGCAGCAGGGGCAGCAGCACGCAGGCGAAGAAGTTGTAGTACACCATGTAGTTCATGGGGACCACGTCCTCAAAGAGGCAGGCCACCTGGCCCGCCCCGCAGCCCTGCGAGTGGTTTCGGCCCTCCCTCGGCTGGCCGCAGTTGTTCCAGCCCAGCATGGGCGTCAGGCCGATGGCAAATGACAGCACCCAGCAGATGGCAATGATGCCCTTGGCCCGTGTGCCAGTCACCAAGCCATTGTACCTGGGGAGAGGATACCAGCATCAGAGGTCTGAGAAACCAGGATAGGCACGGCCCAGAGTGGCCCCCCAGTGCCCTATGTACTGGCTGTAAGGCCTTAGAGTTTCTGCTTCAGTCTGATTGCTGGGAGGCAGGGGGCGTCCTGGAGATGGACGCCACTGTGCAAATGGTCAGGTGACTGTTAGTCTTAGCAGTGGTCCTAAGACTTAGTCTGTGATGAGGGAATTAATGAGTTTGAGGGGGAAGAGAGGAAATCTCGCCTCCCTGTTGGTTAATCTGGCTGATGCTACAACAGGCCTCCCCTCAGAGAGTGCGAGTTGGACTGGGGGCAAAACCAGCCAGATCAGAGCTTTGTGCTCCAGGCTATTTCTTCCCACCCAACTTGGGGGTCTCCAGGAGTCCCCAAGGAGAGACTGCACAGGGGGATATGGGAGGGATGGAGGCCTCCAACCCAGCCCAGCCCTCTGCAGAGAAATGGGATGATTGTGTCTTAGTAACTAGGTGGCAGCCTCGACACCAATCCAGAAGGGCAAGGGATCTTCCCGCATGCACTCAGGGCCCTTGAGACCAGGTAAGGCAAGGCCGCCGATCCCCAGGCTCCAGCGTGGAGCGGGACTCGATCTGCCAGCCAGGAGCAGACCTCAGCCCCAGAGAAGCAGCAGAGAGAATGATGTCTCCCTGGCTTAGGAACACGGTCCCGACCAGCCTTTTTGCCAGCTGGTGGAAGCAGGTTCCACTCTTCACATCCAGAGAGGCTCTCCTGCTTCCTCTGCGACAGGGACTACAGTAGGCGCCAAGGATCACACACAGTTTACTGAACTCCAGAATGTGACACATCTACAGAAATGACGCAGCCCATGGGCGGCAAACACATGAGCCAGGCTGACAGGCGCTTTCCCTGTCTTAGCCGCTATGCAGAGTGTGCGCCCAGGGCTGCCAGGCCTCAGAGGGGCTGGGAAGCTGATTTTCCAGGTAAAGTCTCCCAAGGTTTAAAGTTCTGGTGGTTTTTTACAGATGGGGATACTAAGACCCAAGGAGAGGAATGGAGTTGATGTGGACATTCCGTGGAACCCAGAGGCAACTCAGGCCATGGTGAGTTTGTCAATTCTGAATCCAGTCACTACGCAGGCAGGGGCCAGGTCACCTGCAGCAGGGCCTCAGGAGGAGGAGGGGCCCGGGCTTACTTGTCTGTGCCAAGCCCTGTCCTGTCTCCCGTGTGATGCTGCAGGCGTCCACCCCTCCATCTAATACCCCGCCATAGCAGTGCCCTGAGCCAGGCACTATTCCGGGCACTCTACAAATAGTTCCTCACGTCGTTCCTCAGTGAATGGGACTGCAGTAATTCTGACACTTTCCTAAGAGAATGTTCTTCCCTGGGTTGCAGCCCTGGTGCATTTCTGTAAACAGCAACATTCTCTCACTTTGGCTCGCTAAGCCTCCTTTGTGAAAATGGAACAGAGAACCCCAGACTGGGGAGCACTGCCCCAAAGAATCAGGCGTGGAGACTGCAGGGAGGCGGGCTGTGGCAAGAGCTCCCCAGCGGAGCTGTGGGTGGGAGAAGTGGGCTGCCGCAGGTGGGCTGGCTTCCTGGTGCTTGAGGCGATCCGCTGAGGCGCCCGGTCACGGGGATGGTGTGGAGCTCCTGGCCCCGGGCCGGCTGCCCTGGTGGACTTTCAGCTCCGCTGCAGCAGAGTGGTGCGGCTGCCGCAGGAGAGTGCAGCTTCATTGGTACTTAGCGAACTGGTGAGCCGGGATGGGTTCTAGGAACACAATGTGGAAGCCCCTGGGTCATCCAGTTGCTGACTTCTGCAGAGAAGGGAGCCCATGACGGGGAGCCTTATACTACAAGGAAAGCCTCTTGTGGGGACAGGAACAAAACATCCCTGAAAAGCACTGGTCCAGGAGCGCAGGGGACGTCCCTGATGGGAGTCCTAACCCGGCCTTCCACCAGGGAGCACGGGGACAGCTGTCACTGCCTGCCTTCTCAGTGTTTCAGCACACACACACATGTATTAAAAATATCAAACAGATCAATTCTGATTTTCAAAAGAAACCTCCTGAGGCTGAGAGCTCTAGATCCGGGGGCCCAGGGAGCTGGGCAGCCCAAGGCCTGGGCTGTGTGTCACACAGTTTCACCCTGGCCTCCTGGACGCCCGAGGTAGGCCATTCGAGCACTGCATCTGGTCCCATGGAGCTGAGAGGTGTCACAGCACACAGGTGCCAGAGCCCCTGCGAGCCCCATCCCTGCACCGGCAGGTCACAGGTCACAGGCCCTGGACCACCCTTCCTAAAAAAATTCCTCTGATATTGGGAACTCACCCTATGGTCCAAGAATGAGAGTAATTCAAAAAAGTCATGGAAATTGAACTAAAAGATGTTTATTTTGGTGTAAAACATTTTGAAATCCATGCATATAATGCATTATCAAAAAATTTGTGGAAAATTCATATTATGAAAAAACTATGCATGGATTTAAATGATTTTTTTGCATCAAAATATATATATATATATATTTTTTTTTTTTTTGACAGGCAGATTTAGACAGAGAGAGAGAGAAAGAAAGAAAGGTCTTCCTTTCCATTGGTTCATCCCCCCAAATGGCCGCCATGGCTGGCGCACTGCGCTGATCCGAAGCCAGGAGCCAGGTGCTTCCTCCTGGTCTCCCATGTGGGTGCAGGGCCCAAGCACTTGGGCCATCCTCCACTGCCTTCCCAGGCCACAGCAGAGAGCTGGACTGGAAGAGGAGCAATAGGGACAGAATCCAGCGCCCCAACCGGGACTAGAACCTGGGGTGCCGGTGCTGCAGGCGGAAGATTAGCCAAGTGAGCTGCGGTGCCAGCCCATCAAAATATATTTTCAAAAAAATATTTAAAAGGCAGAACAAAAGAGAAAGAGAGGCAGGGGAGAGAGAGATATAAGTCTTCCATTCACTGGTTCACTTCCCAAAAGTCTACAACAGCCAAGGCTGGGCCTGGCTGAAGCCAGAAGCTGGAAAGTCCTTCTGAGTCTCCCACTTGGCACAGGGGCCCAAGCACTATGGCTTTCCAGGCCATAGCAGGGAGCTGGATTATAAGTGGAGATGCTGGGACTCAAACCAGCACTCTGATATGGGATGCCAAGGTCACAAGCCAAGTGGCAGCTTAACCTTCAACACCAGCCCCTAAAATTATCTTTTAAATTCATTTTCCCAGGGCTGGTGCTGTGGCATAGTGGGTAAAGCCGCCGCCTGCAGTGCCGGCATCCCATCTGGGCTCTGGTTTGAGTCCCAGCTGCTCCACTTCCAATCCAGCTCTCTGCTATGGCCTAGAAAAGCAGTGGAAGATGGCCCAAGTGCTTGGGCCCCTGCACCCACGTGGGAGACCCAGCAGAAGCTCTTGGCTTCGGAGTGGCACAGCTCTGGCTGTTGCAGCCATCTGGGGAGTGACCCAATGGATGGAAGACCTTGCCTCTACAACTCTGCCTTTCAAATAAGTATTTTTTTTAATTCATTTTCCCACAACCTTTTAAAAGTACCCTTTTATACCCATGATGCTAGGTAGGATTTTGTTTCTCTGAGGAGAGGCTGCAGCTTTTGTGAGTCTTCCAGAAGAGTTGGTGACCCACAAGGAAAACCTAACTCCTCACACCCTCCCTGGCTGCCCAGTCCATCTGTCACCTGGCAGCCCAGCTACCTCTCCTTGGCTCAGTGCCCACAGGCTCACTCTGCCTCAGGGCCGCTGCCCCTAACCACATGCCACCAACATCCTGCCCAGCCCGCCCCTCCAAAGTCAGCGCAGGTCACCACAAAGGACCTCCGTCCTTGGCACCCGCGGAGACCAGTGTGAGAGACAGGAGGCCATGGTACAAAAGTCCCCGGTAGAAGTCTGTGTCACTAGCCCTGGGATTCCCAGCCTCAGCTCTGACCTGGCTCCCTCCGGGAAGCCCTGCCCCAGCCCAACAGGTCCCCTGCACATGGGAGAGCAGACGGATTGTTCTAAAGTTGAATCCCCAAAATACCGGTGGGTAGTGCAGGCCTGGGGCTAGGCCTCTAAGGCATCTCTCAGGGTGGGCCTTTCCCAGTGGAGCAGAGGACAGAGGCCGGGCTCCGAGCCGTGAGGGAGTCAGCCAGCCAGAGCCTGCGAGTTCTTCCACATCTCCGCTCATCCTCAGGAGCCCCCACATGGCCACCTCTGGGTGCCCAGAAAAGGGAGGGGACCTGAGGGCCAGGAATCCATCCACACAGGGAGACAGGAGGGTCATCACGTTGCCCAGCCACAGTGCCGCGCTGTGAGGATGAAGACACTGCTCGCACACCCTTCAGCCTCCGACCACTCTGCCGGTGGGGACGAGAACGGTCATCAGCCCAGCAGAGGCCTCGCCGAGCACGGCTCGGATGGCCCGAGGCCGGCTCTGGAGGTCACGGGATTCAGACGTGCAGATCGGGTGGGGGAGGGTGGGGAGGGTGTGTGTGTGTGAGGGGTCAGGCCCAGGGCTCCAAGCCTCCAGTGGCTTAAGAAAGAACTGAATCCTTGGCCGGCGCCGCTGCTCACTAGGCTAATCCTCCGCCTAGCGGCGCCGGCACACCGGGTTCTAGTCCCGGTCGGGGCGCTGGATTCTGTCCCAGTTGCCCCTCTTCCAGGCCAGCCCTCTGCTGTGGCCAGGGAGTGCAGTGGAGGATGGCCCAGGTGCTTGGACCCTGCACCCCATGGGAGACCAGGAAAAGCACCTGGCTCCTGGCTCCTGCCATCGGATCAGCGCGGTGCGCTGGCCGCAGCGCGCCGGCCGCGGCGGCCATTGGAGGGTGAACCAACGGCAAAGGAAGACCTTTCTCTCTGTCTCTCTCTCTCACTGTCCACTCTGCCTGTCAAAAAAAAAAAAAAAAAAAAAAAAGAAAGAAAGAACTGAATCCCCACTCTGCTGCCCTCCTCAGGGGTCCTCACACCAGTTCTGTGAGCTCTCTAGATGAGGAGGTGGGCCTTGAGGGGACAGCTAACCCTCCGTGGCCACAGAGCGCATCCCATTCTGCATCAAGGATTCGTTCTCTCAGAAAACAAGGAAAGGGAGAGATTGCCCTCCCTCCCTCCCCTGCCTAAAAAAAAAAAAAAAAAAAAAAAAAAAAAAAAAGCTGAGGTCCATCAACTTAGGACAGCAGCCCAATCTCAGCCTAGCACGGTGCTGCCTTTGAATCAGAGAAGAAACAGCCAGGCCCCTGCTTCCTCGGTGTTGCCACGAGTACATGGGCCCAGCCAGGCCCGAGGTGGCCTCCAGGCATCTACTCTGGCCGGCCCGGGACTCACAGATAGACCCCCTTCCTAGGCCTTGGCATTCAGAGCTGGCACTGGACCCTGTTCTGCCAGGGAGCAAGGGATGGGGGCAGAGGGGGCCAAGGTTGTCCCTAGACACAGTCTTGGGAGACAGACAGCTGTCTCGGCCCCTGCTCATTACTGAGGGCTCCAGGCCCTCCCGAGATGCAGAGCATCTGACAGGGCAGCCAGCTGTGGATGTCTCCTTCCCCGTGAGACCCTGGTGACAGGCATGGGTACCTGGAACAACCTCTGGGAGACTGGGGCCACCCAAGGCTGTTCCCCCAAAGACTGAAGACACAGTGGGTATCAGGCCACATTCCTTCCCAGACCTCGCCTCGGCTCCGCTACCAACTTCTGTGGCCCTGACAAAGCTGCTGTGGCTCTCTGAACTTCATTTTTCCACCCAGAAGGGGCCCCTTGTGTCTGACACTCAGTTTCCACTGCTCCTCGAGCCTGGTCCTCCTCCCTGCCGAGGCGCCCACAGCCCCTCCGATGGGGCCCCCTCCATTGGCGAGCACTCCCACTATCTGGTCGATTTCCCCTCTCAGGGTCTGCAGCTGCCCAGGGGCCCCCAGGTCCCCAGGGGAGCGGCACACGTTCTAGCTTCCCCTCCAAGGAAGCTCAGCTTCCAGGAAAGTCTTCATTTACACAACCACCGTGAAACCCCTCCCACAGCCAGTCCCTGAGCCTGCAGCCTGCGTCCTGGGTGACCTGGGGAACACGAGAATCTTCATGTAGGTCCCAGTGACTCACTGTGGCGTCCAGCCAAGTCACTTCCCCTCTCGGGGTCACTTTCCTAATGCGCCCTTCTGAGGCTGACCGAGGCGCTGGGGGCAGGCCTCTAGCTCTGGAGCCTGTGGTTCCACCCACTCCAGCATCACGCAGGGAGTTTTGCTAGTGCATGAATGATGCCCAGATGTCCCCATGGGTCACACACAGGTCACCAGGCCCTGTCTGCCTCCCTCACATGATGCCTAGGCCCAGGCCACCCTCCGCAAATGTGGGTGGCCTCAGCCGCGCAGCCTAGAGCTCAGGAGGACCAGGGTGCACTGTGCCCAAGGAGCTGTTCAGCCCTGGGCAGCTCCAGATGGAGCTTGGGCTCATCCCGGCCCCACGCAGCCTGCACGTGAGTGTACACCCCGGCCCAGGCCCCAGCTCACCGCAGCGGGATGCGGATGGCGATGTAGCGGTCAATGGCGATGGCCAGCAGGCTGAAGATGGAGCTCTGAGTGAGGACCAGGACGAAGCAGGCGATGAAGAGGCAGCCGTGGCAGGCGGCGCAGAACCCGGTGCTGATGGTGATGGCGAAGGGGATGGCAAGCACGCCCACGGCAATGTCGGCTGCCGCCAGCGACACCACAAAGTAGTTGGTGACGTTCTGCAGGTTGCTGTTGAGCCACACAGCCCAGCACACCAGCACGTTGCCCAACACAGCCAGCACGGCGATGGCCAGCTCCACCGTGATGTACACCCAGGAGCCCATGGTAGGCACGGCCGCGGACAGGCAGGCTCAGCGGGGACGCGGGCCGGGCCAGCTCACGGTCCATAGCTGCAGCCCAGCTGTCTGCCCACCCAGCTCCTGGCCAGCCCAGCCCAGGTGCAGGGGCCCAGGCCCCCGAGCCCCTTCCTCACAGGAGAGTCAAGAGCATCGCTGTCGGGGCGGCTCTCCCGGATGCCGGCCAGTCTCCCCAGACCAGGCCCTCGGCAGGGGCGCCGGCAGCAGCGTCATAGCCAGCTCAGCTTCAGCGTTCCCAAGGCACCTGCAGAGGGAGAGCCCTGATGAGCAGCAGCCCCAGCCGCTCACCACCACCCCAGGACCTTGAAGAAGCACCTGCTTCTGGACCCACCCCACCCGCAGGCCTGGTGTCCGGCCAAGGACGACCCCGTGCCCTGCCCAGTCTGCCGTGGTCGCAGCCAGGAGGCAGGAGAGTTCTGGCCCCTACTGCAGAGGACAGCGGCCCAGAAAGGTCACTCCCCACCCTGCTGAGACCTTGCCAGACCCCTCTCAGGGAGGGCACGGGGGGACCGCAAGCAGAGCCTTGTCTGGGCGCTGCCACAACCCTCTCACCCCTCAGCGAGACCCTTGGTCATCGCCCCTTCCACCCAGGACCAAGGGCCAGTGCCAGGCTCTTGGTTTTTCTAGGGGAAACAGATCTCAGTTTAGTCGCTCCAGTTGGCTCCCCACGCTCAGCTTCCCAAAGCTCCTGGGGCAGCCCAGCCAGCCTCCAGGATCCCCGAATTCACCATCCGCCCCACAGTGCCGACTCCCTCCCTCCAGGAAAAGCCCCTCACCTCTCGGGACCTCCCACTCTCAGCCACCTTCTCTTGCCAGGCCAGCCTCTCGGCCAGCCTTGGCCCGCTCCGTCCCCAGGAAGCCCTCCCAGGAAGGAAGTGCCCACCAGAGGGACCCTGGGGCTCTGACCTGGAGAGCCCCGGGGAGCCACCAGCCCGTCTCCACTGCAGCAGCAGAGCAACCACAAACCTGAACCCGCTGCCTCCGGGTGTCCCCGCCTCTGGGCGGGGCAGGTGCTGGAGCTGCCTGCCTCCTTGGAGGAAGCTGCTCCCTCCACCTCCTCCCACGCCTCTTCCCCACCTGCTCCCCTGCCTGGCTGACAGGGAGTGACTGACGGGTCTGGTCCCCAGCAGAAAGTAGGTGCTCAGAGCTGGGGGACCTTGGGCAAGAGCACTCCTTCCTTCTGGCCCTCAGTTACCCACTGGTACCGTGAGGAGGTTGGACCCAGAGGCCCCCTGGGGGCCATCCTGCCTTTCACCCATGAGCCTATGAGAAGGAAATAACAGGTGTGAAAGGACTCCCCCAGCGCCAAGAGGTCTTAAAAACACGAGGCGTTAGTGGTACCCCTCAAAACCAGCAAGCTCGGTCTCCCCGGCAGGCCTGAGCCCAGCCCCGATTCCCAGGGCTCCCCTCAAGCCTGGCCATCGCCTCCCTGAGGACACGGGGCCGAGACAGCCTTGCAGCGGCCCCAGGTGAGTGTAGCAGGACTGGTGACCTCGGGAGGTCACTCCTAGTTCCTGGTCTCCTTGAAGGGGCCAGGCTGCCCCTACCCGCTCCCCCAGGAAGTGACACGAGGGCTGAAATAGATGGACCCCAAGTTTCCTTCTAACTGTAAAGCTGTTAGTGGCTTAAGCAAGGGCTGCAGCCACACCTGAGGAGTCTCTCCACTAGGAAGCTCACAATGGGGCACCTGACAGAAGGCCAGGGCCTGGCAGAGAGAGGCCTGAGTCCCACTAAGTCCATTAAGGGAGCAGCGACGGAGACACTTGTTAGCCAGTTGCTCCCAAAGCACATCGCAGACAAGGCCATACCAAGGCTCTTAGGGCCATCCTCAGACACGCATGGGGTCCCTACAGCCCAGAACAGCATCACCCGGGGCCCACCCAGCTGCCGGCAAGGCCCAGGTCTACCAGGTGCTGCCAGAGCTGGTGCTGGCCCCAGTCTGCCTCCCACCCAGGTGCCTCAGGGTGGGCTCCCAGGCCCAGCACCAACAGCAGGAACAGGCAGCCACTGTCCAGCCAGGACCACCCAGGCCCAGTGAGCCCTGGAGGAGCCATCTCTCCCACCTCTAGTGCCCTCTGGGAGTCTGCACTGGAGGCTATCACAGCCTCCTGCCGGCCCAGGCCCGTGCAGTATAGTCGGGACGGGGTCAGTATCCAGTGTGACACTCTCCAGGACCGTCCTCAGATGCCCTGCTAGGGGCTGACAAGGTGGAACGCTTCTGCCGGAGGGGCAGGCAGGGAAGGGCAGTGCTCCCCCGCCCTAGAGCTCCGCGGATGGGGCCCACACCACCAGCACCTGTGCCCAGGGCTGGACTGACACGTCACCTAGGACGCCCAGTGTGGAATGGGCCTTCAAGGGCCTGACCCAGACCACTGTTCAGCAAAGCTCTCCCAGCAGCCACACGTGCCTGTGTATCCCCAGTTCTTAGGGTCTCCCCTAAGCACCTTCCGCTGAGCAACACTGGAACCAGCATCCTCCCCATGCACATGAAGCCGTCTCCTTGCCGGCTGGCAGTCTTGGTGGCACTGACCCTCCTGCCCATGGTCAGTGCCAGGGCCTGTCTGCCCAACCAGTCCACTCCCCAGCCCTGAGCCATGCAGATGACAGAGAGAGGGGCCAGGAGGCGGCAGGTGCTCAACTGCAGGCTGGCCAGTGGCTCTTGCCTGGGTTGCCCTGGCCTCAGCCAGGTGTCCATGTTCGCACTTTGGCCAATTTCAAGCTACTGATGTGTCACCAACAAGAACTGGGGCCTTACACAGTCCGCTGGCTACCGCAGAGCTGCCAAGCCCCGTGCTCACCGAGAGGCTACCTGCCTGGATGCCAGGACCCTGTATCAGCCTGTGCCCCACTCTGAGCCTAGGAAGCTAAGGTACAGAGCATGACCATCAGGAAGCCCAGGACAAGGGGAGTCATGCTGGATGCAGCAGCAGGACGACTTCCTGAGGCCGCCTGGCTCCTCCGGCTTCCCTCCCTCCCAAAGCCTCCCAGAGCCACAGGAAGGAGTGGCCGGGGAGGGGGCCAGGGCGGGGCCACGGCCTGGCAATTTCCTATTCTTCGTTGTTGCCGCTATCTAATTAATCCTTGAGTCATCTGTTGCTAGCCAGGAGGGGAAATTAAATATTAATAATGTGATATTTCTCCATGACTGTCCCTTGTTGGGACGGGGCAGAGGGCGTGCACTGTCCTACAAAAACCAGAGACATGCTGCGAAGGTGCGCAAGGCTCTTGGAAAGAGCCGCCCCACAGGGTTCTCCGCAGTCCAGACTCCAAACCGCCGCGCCCGCCTGCTGGCCGCTTTAATTAAAACTCCACTTAAAGCCCGCACATCTCCTGGCCCACTCCTGGCTCCCTGAACACATGCCCTGGCACCAGCACCTCCCAGAGCCTGCTGGACGGAGGGGTCTGTGTTCAGGCCTCAGGATCCTCCGGTGACAAGTTTGCCAAGCACCGACTCTGCGGGGACCACCCCAACTGCTGGTCCACAGGGAGCTCCATGCCACCTGCTCCTGTGCTCAGCCCAGCCTGGCCCCGTGCCCACGATGTGGGGAGGGGGGGTCTCAAGGAAGAAAGAGCCCAGGAAACCCCCGAGGAGCAGGTGCTCCCCAGCCCTCAGCTCCCAGGCCAGATGAGCTGCAAACCACAACAACGCACAGGAGGAAAGTTAAGGCTATGATGAGCGATGAGCAGGAGATCACAAATACAAATACAAAAGAAGAGGAGGTGACGGGAATCTAGTAACACTTCCCGGGGAGGAGCTTCTGGGGCAGGCAGGTGGCACAGCGGTGAAGACGCTGCCCGGGGGACCGGTGTCATGGCGGCCTAGGCTGGGCCTCCGCTTGCGAGGGCAGCGTCTCGTTTCACAGTGCCGCTGGTGTGAGCCCCGGGCTGCTCTGCTTCTGATTCGGCTCCCTGATGATACACCTGGGAAAGCAGCGCAAGAGGGCTCAAGTATCTAAGTCCCTGCCACCCGTGGGGGACCAGGATGGAGCTCCTGGCTGCGGCCTGGTACAGTCCCGGCTGTCGCAGCCATTTGGGGAGTGATCCAGGAAATCTCTTTCCTCCTCCGTCTCTATCACAACATAAAGCAAATGTCGCACACACACGCAGCTTGGGAGGCCCATCTCTCACAGCAGAGTCCCTGCTTCTGAGGACTGGCTCCACTTCTGATACTGCTGCTTGCTTTTGCACGCCCTGGGCAGCAGGTGATGGCTCAGGGCCGTGGGCCTCTGCCACCCACACAGGAGACAGACTGAATCCCGGCTCAGCTTCACCCTGGCCTGGCTCCAGCTATCGCAGGCATTTGGGGAGTAAACCAACGGGATGGAAAAGCCAATCTCTTGTCTCTGCCTCCCAAACAAGAAGTAAAAACACAATTTTTAAAGACAAAGAACTTCAAAGATAAAGGAATAACATCCAAAAGCAAGAATGAGAACTTAGGCATCAACTAGCAGAAACAAAACAAGCACAGGAGAATCTGGACAAGGAGTAACTAAAATCCCGAAGTGAAAAGTGGATTGGCATAAAGGCCACAGCAGATGTGACGGGCCTCGGGCAGGTAGAGAAAGACAGCCAGGGATCGGAGACGGCACTGAGGGGCTCTCACAGGGCCTCACCAGGAGGGTCAGAGAGGGGGGCCAAGGGACAAGAGGCAGACCGAGAGCACCCACCTCTGCCTAGTGGAGTTCAGCAGGACGGCTGAGGGGCGACAAGCAAAGACGGACAGGTGGGCCCCTGCCCCCACCCCACAAGCCTCTGCTGACTCCGCCACGAGCCCAGGGTGCCAGGACCCCCCCCCCCAGACCCTCCCAAGGGTGTCAGAGCGCATCAGGTGCCTCCTGGCACTGCTGGGCATTGAGCAACCATCAGAGTTTGCCCCGCGGTGCCCGTCACCTCTCACCTGCAGCCGCGAGGCTGCTGCTGTCAGCTCCTCGGGCAGGATGTGGGCAGGAACGGGGTGCAGAGGCAGCACCCTGCAGCTGGTGGGCAAGGCGCTGGGCCAGCAGGTGAAGCGGCCTCCACCTCCAGGGCCACAGCTCCTACCTCAGTCCCTCAGCTCCCTGGGGGCCCAGAAAGGCCTCTCCCATCCCCACGTGTCCAGGCCACGTTCCAGAAAGGCCATAGCCCCCAAATTCCCTGCCAAATGTGGCCACTCACCGCCCCCAACAGGCACCTTCACCCGCCAACCCCCTCCGAGAGGCCCCAGCTCACACAGAGGGGCCGGGTGCCCGCCCAGTGGGGGAGCAGCTGAGATGGGGACCACCCTGCTCTATCACACATTCCTCGAGATATGGGCTTGAGGCCCTGCCCATGCCTGCGCTGCTCACATGCACAGCCCACGAGACAGCGTCACGTGGAAGGCTCAGCACCTGCATCTCCCACGGGTGGCAGGTGCTGGGAGCTGTGACACCTGTGGGGTTGTACCCTGAGCACGTAGACCCTGGTGGGAGGCTGGCCGCTCGAGGGGGCATGGCTAGGAACCCCGAGGAGGGCAGCGACGTGGACCCAGTGCTGGGGCCCCTGGGAGACAGTGAATATGGCCAAAGTCCCCCAGCGCCCTGCCATTGCTCCTCCACCCACTGAGTGGCTCTCCTCCCCCTGAGGCTCAGGGCCTGCAGAGACCACTCAGAGACATGAGACACCCAGTGGCACCCTCGCCTCTCCTTGTCGGGCTCAGGCTTCTCCCTAGTGACAGTCCCCAGCACAGCGACAGCACCCACACAGGGGGAGCCACAGCACCTGCCCCTGCCCCGCAACTTCTGAAACGGGCCAGGCCTGGGGCCAGCGCTGTGGTTAAGCTGCCGCCTGTGACACAGCCATCCCATATGGAACACAGGTTCCAGACCTGGCTGCTTCACCTCCGATCCCTGCTAAGGTGCCTGGGAAAGCAGCGGAGGATGGCCCAGTGCCTGGGCCTCTGCACCCACAAAGGAACCCTAGAAGTAGCTCCGGGTTCCTGGCTTCAGCCTGGCCCAGCTCTGGCCATTGCAGCCACCTGAGGAGTAAACCAGCGATGGGCGATCTCTCTCAACTCTGCCTCAAATAAAATCTTAAAAAGAGGCTGGTCTTATGGAAGGGACGTGAGCCCAGAAGCAATCCTGGAGGCTTCTCGTAAGAAGGGGACATTTGGTCCAGACTTGGGGGACCAGGAGGGAAAGGGAGAGAAGTGGACGGAAGTTTTAGCAAAGAAAACAGCCCGTGCAGAGAGGACTGCGGTGGCCCTGGGAATGAGCAAGTCCCGCCCTCCCTGGGGTGAAGAACAGCAGAACCCCCCACCCAGCAGAACTCAGGACTTCCAGGCTGTCTGCCTGTCTCCCACTAAACCCTCCTGCCACCCGGAGCCCCAGGCTCTGCCCAGGAGGGGCGCAGTCTTGGGGACTCCCCTCTGCACCCCAGCTCCACCCCATCCCTTGAGCACTGCAGCCCCCTGCTCCCCGCAACCTCCTGACCACTCACCACCTCCCACTAAGTCCCTCGGGGCAACCCCTCCCTTCCGTGGACCGAGCGCCTCCATTTCATCACCTCAGCACCTGAGCGTGCAGCCGGCTGTCCCTGGCGTCCCTACCATGCACCCTCCCCACTCTGCTCTCATCACCACCGGACAACAGGCCTCACGGCTCATCTGGCATTGGGGGGCTGAGGTCACTGCCCCGAGCCGACACACAAGCCCTGAACTTAGCAGGCCATGCCGCCCCGGGACACATGCTTGCGCCCACACCGCTTCCAGGGCTCACCTTCCGCTGCATCCCCCCGCCCTCCCTCCCGGCTTCAGCTCAGTCCAGGACCTGATGTCTCAGCCCCCGCATCAGGGGGATCGCCATGCCCGCAGCAGCGAACGGCGTGGGGCAGCCCTCACGGGAGTCCAGGGGACCAGACCAGAAGCCAGCTTGCGGCACGGAAATCTGGCCCGTCAGGTTGCCCTGGAGGCCGACCACTGCCTGCTCAGTTCTGGCCCAAAGCCTGTCTCCTGCCAGATGTGTGTGGGCTGTCCCCGGCCACCTCCAGGCAGCGAGCAGAGGCTGGCCTGGGCCAGCACCCGGCCAGCTCGGAGGGGCTGGGACTGGCCCGGGGGACCTTAGAGGCTCTGGGAGGCCAGAGCTGACGCCACAGCAGGGGTCACACGTGTGAGAAGCCCCTGCCCCGGACCTGCAGGGACTTCAGATGGGGGCTCAACCCCCAGCCCCACTGGTCGCAGAGGCAGCTCTGTGCTCCCAGGGGCTCTCCACCACAGTCCTCAGGCTGGGGACACCCAGGAGCAGCCCTTGGCCGGGCACGGGACACTGGCGGAGGGTGCACGACCCGGGGATCCAGGAAAGCCAGCCAGCGCCAAGGCAGGCCTGAGCCCCAGGCCAAGGGGGCTACGGGATTCAGTGGAACGGGACTGGCCTCAGCCTCCTCCAAGGGCCAGAACACCTGCTCCTCCAGGGGCCCAGCTCTCTCCCCCCGCGGTTCTGGGCAAACGGGAGACGGGTCCTCCAGCTATTCCCGCCGCGGAGCGCTCGGTCACCCCCTTCTTCCCATGGCGCAGTCGGAGAAACTCAAGTCTGAACGCCCGGAACGCAGCCGGGCCCGCCGCCCCTCCTGGGCCGAGCTGCGCCAAATCCCTCGAGAGCCGGCACCATTCCCGCCATTCCTACCTCACTCGGGGCAGCCGATGGACGGCCAGGACCGGTCCTCAGCGCACGCCCGCCCCCGCCCGTCCTCCCGGGTCCCCTAAGGCTGGTTCCCGCCACCACTGCCTCCCACCACCCCCAGGGCAAACATGCCCGCTTGGCCCACGGTCCAGCCCCGCCGCGCCGCGCCTGGGGCGCTCGGGATGCCTCGGCCACAGCACCAGCCCAGCCACCTGTAGACCGGGGCCGCGCCCGGAAGGTGCAGCGGAGCGAGCGCACTGGAGCCGGCCGGCCCGACGGCCGCTCCCCGCGGTGCAGACGCCGGCCCCGCGCCCTCCTCGCACTCGCGCGCCCCTTCCCTCTCAGCCCAGCGCCGCGCACCTTCCGGGCCCATCCGGGGCGCTCAGACGGTCCGCACTCCGGCCCCGACCGCGCCGGGGCGGCTCCTGTGCCGGGGCTGCCCGGGGCGGGCTCGGACCCCGCACCCGGGCACTCGCTCTGGGGGCCACAGAGAGCGTCTGCGCGGCGGGGCGCCCCGAGCCGTCCCGCCCTCTTGGCCAGCAGCCTCCGACGGGCCCGCGCCGTCCGGGACCCCCGGGGCCCCGGCCCCGCTCCCCACGCTGACCTGCGGCTCTCGCGCCGGCTCCCGCTGTCTCGGCGGCCGCTGGGGCTCCGGCTCCGGCCGCGCCGCTCACGGGCGCCCCCTGCAGGCGGCTTCGAGACCCGCGCTGCGTCTGCCCCGCCCCGCCCCGCCGCGCGGGGCCACCGCGGCCAGTGCGGGACCCGAGGCGATGCCCAGGCAGGGCGAGGCCACCAGGGGCCGGGGCCGCGCCAGAGCCCCGCAGCGTGGCTCTCCCGGGCTCGCATCTGTCCCGGGCCGCCTCCCTCCAGGGCCCACCCCCTTCCCTTCCTCTGGCCTCCTCCCCGGCCCCACCCCCGCACTCCCTCTCCCCCGAGAGACCCCAGGGCCGCCTCTGCCGCTCTGGTCATCCGCCGTCGCCAGTCAGTGCTGGGCCGGGCCGGTGGCCCCGTGTCACCCCTTCCCCAGTGCCCAGGGGCCCGCTCCTCATCTCTCCATGGCTCCCCAGTTAGACGTGAAGTCCAGCGCCCTTACCGCAGTCGGTGGTCGAGGTCCCGCCGGGTCCCGGGTCTGTAGCCCCGGTCCTGAGCATTGCCCCGGCTGGTGGTGCTGTCAGCTCCAAGTGCGCCTCCCGGGCAGCCGGCCCCAACTTCCAGGGCCCCCTGTGCCTCTCCCCGCGTGCCCCGCGTCGTCACAGCCCTGGTGGCGTCCTGACATCAAGTGGGAGTCCCCTGGGCACCGCGCACTACCCGGGGATCTCAAACCCTTGGTCTGGGAATTCCCCCCTCTGCTTCCCACCCAGGTTCTGGAAGCTTCTAACTGGGAACAGTCTGGCCTATAACCTCAGGAGCCGCTGCAGGGGCCCTGCCTCCCGCCTGTGCATCTGAATGGATGCGGACCAAGTTGGGGGGGTGGGGGTGGCCGAGGCTGGCGCAACCCTCACCTTCTAAAACCTGCTGAGGCGGCGCAGGAGGCCCAGGGTGGAGGGGTCGCTCAGTGCCCTGGGACGGGTGGGGGCCGCTGCTGTCTCCCCAAGGCAGGGTGGGGAGTGGGCAGGGAGGGGCCCAGGCGGTGACCCTGACTTCTGGGGACTCTGCCTCACCTGGCAGCCTCCCTGGTTCAATCCTGGGGCCAAAACCAGTTGGGAGGATGGCGCCCCCATTTTTCTGAATGCACACTTTCCCGAAGGCCCCTCTCCTGCCCTGCCACCTCCTGGGCTGAGCCAGGGTCAGACCGCGGCCCGGGAGCTGCCGGCTGGGGACCCTCGCCCAGGCCTTGGCCCCCACCTTGCTGTCAGACTCCTGCGGCAGGGACAGCCCCTCCTGCCCACCTGGGCTCCAGTCCTCGCTCCACACGCAAGGGACAGTGTCTCCACAGTGGCCCTGTGGGGCTGTGGGGGTCCCTCCTGGGGTCTCTCATCCTCAGCTCCCTGGATTCCCTGAGCATACCCTTCCTGCCAGGACACCCCCTTCCCCATGGTGGCCTGGCCACAAGCACGGTGACAGCGCCTCCCCCAGGTTCTCAGGGTCACAGCACCAAAGCCCCCACAGCTCGTTCCTCAGGGTCCCAGGGAGCAGGGAGCAGGGTCGACAGGCTGACCCGGCTAGCTGCAGCCCCAGCTCCGCCAGCCCTGGCGAGGGGAGGGGATGCAGGGGGTCCTGCCAGCCCAGGTCGCCAGGGGAGCCGGTGCCTGTGGTTGGGTGACTGGGAGTGGCCACACATGGCCTGCCCGTGGCTTCTCCAAGCCCCCCATCCTTCCCCAGCCATGGCACCACGAGCCTTAGGCGCTGCAGACCCCAGCCATGAGAACTCTCCTCAGGTGGGCCAGGGAAGGCCCGTGGGCAGGTGCCTCGGTCTAGGGCTGCCCTCCAGGCCAAAGAGGCAGAGGCACCGGCCTGCCCCGAATGTGGTCACTGCCCCCCATAGAATGGGGATGCCCCGTTGGGCCCCGACTTCCAGCTCCACACCCTGGTCCCCCCCAGCCCTGGCAGCCTTTGAAGGCTGTGGGCGGCCGCCCTTCCTTCCGTCCAGGCCCAGACTCTGCGGCCGGACCTCGAGGGCCTCTCCGCCGACAGATTCCGCCCCCGGCCCTTTGTTCCTGCCCAGGATGCACCTGGGCGGCCTCTGGCCTCCTTTGTTTGCTCTGGGGCCAGCTGAGCTGCTTCAGGGAGAAGATGGCCAGGCCCGGCCCCAGCACCCAGGAGCCCCGGAAACACCGGACTGTTCTCCTGGGAGCGGGGGAGGCCTCCCAGGGCTCCCACGGTGACTAAGGGAGGCCCCACAAAGGCTGAGGCCAGGAGGCGGGCCCCAAGACCCCTGCAGTGCAGGGCGGGCCCCGGGCCCCCACCCCCCGCCTCCCACTCTTCACCCCTGTCTGCCGCTCAGGTTGAAAACAGATGGCACCACACTTCGGAGCTGATTGGGGCACAGGACAGTGGTCGGGAAGGGGTCCCTCAGGGCAGGTGGGGCTTGTCCTGGTTCTGGGGTGGGGTGGGGCAGTGACAGGCTTTGCAGCCCCCAGCCCTGAGCCCTACCAGGCCTCCCTACATCACCATCACAGCGGGCTGGCAGGAAGGATGAGACCCCTTCTTGAGGTCACCATTTCGAAGAGGTGGAACAGCCCCCCAACACGTCCGAAGTGCTAACTGGGAGCTCTCACTCACTCGCAGGGTGTGGCGCCTTCTCCAGTCTCACTCACTCTCAGGCGGCCCTCTCGGAACTGGCCGTCCAGGGCCTGCTCCGGGCCAGGTGAGGCTCAGGTGGTCCATCACCTCGGCCCCGCCCACTGCATGAAGAGGCGCCAGGCGCAGCCCACTGCAGTCCTCATCCAGCCCGGAGTCTTGGGTGCTGAGACTCCGTCCCTGCCCACCGAGGGGCTGCAGGCGTCTGTCCCTGGGAGCCACCCCATCAAGGCTGTGGATGGAGGGGCGTGGGGGTCCTTTCTGGATCTCTCCACTCTCCTGGGAACTTGAGGTTTCCTCCTCCCTTGTGTCAAATCTCCCCTCAAAGTACTTCTGGGTGGAAACGCTGCCTCCCACAGGTGCTGCCCCGGGGCAGGCGGAGCAAGCTGGGAGCAGGGCGGCTGAGGGGCCAGGTGCTCCAGGAGCCGGAGCTTAGCATGGCGGGCGGGGGGGGGGGGGGGGGGGCTGGATCCAACTAGGGCCTGGCCCTGGGGGCACAGCTGGCGTGGGGGGCGCCCCAGAGGATACCCCTTCAGACGGGCCCTGCAGAGGTCAGGCTCCCCAAGCTGGGTGCCTGGTGTGTGGCGGGCGGTGCCCCTCCCCCCTGCAGCACACGTGCAAGGGGACAAGTCAGCGTTGTCTGGGCTGTGCTCGGAATTATCCTGGTTTTTTTTTTTGGAGGGGATCCTTTATAATTTTATGCACTCTTAATTACTCCCCAAGATACCTTTCTGAAAAACATAACCCAACCCCCGGGCTGTTCTGGTGGGGGCTACACAGGGGCCCCACTCCTGGGGCAGCGCTGATGGTTTCCGGGGCCTCAGAATCAGCGGGCACAGGGTGGCCACGGCACTACCACCACCACCCCACCCCGAGTCTCAGGCCCAGGGCCCAGGGGGAGCGGTCACCGCACCTGACTCCCAGTCAGGGCCCCTCCCCCACAGCTGCTCAGCCCTTGGTCCCCACGGGGGTGGGGTGGGGGTGCTGCCTCTCCGCAGCCGGCCTCAGGAACAGCAGGACAGCCCGAGCCTGGTGTGTTTCAGCAAGTTTAATACATTCAAGATTATTTATATACTAGAACAAAATTGAAAGTATCGCCAGGCAGCCGAAGCCGGGGAGCGAGAGGAGCGCGTCCGGCCGTGGCGGCGAAGCTTGTGCTTGAAGGAGGGGCAAGCGCTGAGTGAGGACGGCCTCCAGGCGCGTGGCCACGCCCACGTCGTGCCGCAGCCCCGGCAGCCTTGGTGGGGTCCTCACCACCGACGCCAGCGCCCCAGGGTCCCCAGGAGGGGCCTCCCTCCCTCCCTCCAGCGGCCCCGCCCAGCACGAGCCACCTGCACTGGGCTCCTGCGGCCAGCCAGGACAAGACTGAACTGCGGGCCCGGGAGGATTCCTCACCCACAGGACAAGAGGCAGCCCACCCACCCCACCCCCATGAGTAATAAATAAAGGCGGGGCTGTGGGCCGCAGGGGGGCCTGGACGCACACTCGCAGGTGCCTGGCAGGGCCCTGAGGCCGGTGAGCTGAGAAGCAGGAATGTGGAAAAACGCAGGGCCGAGGTACTGCCGACCACGACGCTTCTCCTGCCGACAGTCAGCGCCCCGCGGGCATGGGGGCCCGGCCACCACCGATGGGAACGCCAGGGAATGGCCGTGGAGGACAGGGCCAGGCCGGGGCGCTTCGGGCCCCTGGCGATGGCGTCTCCAGGCTGCACACAGCGGCCTGTTTCCTGGTAACCACGTTCTCTCCAGCTCTACACGAAGCGCGGGGTCCCCAGCCCAGGGGTCAGGTGCTCTGAGGCGGCTGTGGCGGGACTCCGGAGAGGGTGCGGACCTCAAACCCACGCGAGACACGGGCGTCCCGGCGGAGCCATCTCCACAGGTCTCTGGGCCTTGCTCCCCGCGGCCGAGCGGGGCAGAGGCCTTCCGAGGGGTTAAGGCACTTTCTCGGATTCTCGCCTGGGGGACGGCGGCACAGTGACTCAGATGCGGCTGCGATTCCTAAGGCTGTGCGCTTTTTTCTCCTGCTAATTCCTACTTCATCTTCGTTCTCACCGCGCTCATGTCCAGGTTTTATTTCTATGCTTATGAAAACAATTTAACTTTGGTACTAATAGACAGGAACTAATTCTCCCAATATTGCTCATAAGAAAACAAAGATTTTAACCAGGAGAACTCCCTACGACCAATTCTTTGTCCAGAAATCTAAAGCCAGAGCTGGCGCTGAAGCCCGTTCTGGGCTGCAGGAAGGGCCGGGCACCCGCAAGAGCCTGGCCCCGCTCCCCGCCCCCAGCCCCCAGCCGCCAGCAGCCAGCAGCTTGCACTGGCTCCGCGGCAGCTCCAGCAGCTCCGAGCTAGGGACACCCGCGCCGCGTGGGCTGGGACGGCCCTGTCCCGCGGAGGGGTGGCTGTCCCACCTCTGCAGTGACACGTCCCAGGACAGCTGGCCCGTGTGCCGGGCGGAGGCCCGCCCCCCCAGCACTGGGCAGCAGAGCCCTCTGCCGCACGCAGGCTCGCCTCCTCGGCTCTCACCAGCGACGCGGGAACCTGCACAGGGCAGAGGTCGGGGGGCACTGTGGTTAGAGCTTTCACCGCCCCGTGGGCTTCCCACAAAATGTGAGCCCTTCCCGGAGTCGAGCCCCGCACAAGCCCTCGTTACAGCCCCAAGCACTGCTCTGGTTCCATGCTCTCTGTGGAGGGAGCCCCGGTGTGCAGAGCGGCCCGAGGTCCCCCGACGCAGAAGCCCGGGCAGCCCAGAGTCGCTGAAAGCTTCGGGGGTGCGTAGCTAATAGTGTTGGTGTCTCTCGGTAACTGCAGGGCCCCCGGCGCCGGGCAGCCCTCCCGGCGTGCTCAGGTCTCAAAGTACTTGTAGATGGCTGTAACGTACAGCATCACATTC